TGAGGAGAGGGGGCAAGGAGGAGGCAGCATAGTAAACAGTTTCTTAACGCCTCTGTTGGTCATAGTCCTAAGAGAAAAATCAATCACAGTGCTCATCAATAGGATAATAAACAAATCAATAGTGGAATACTACACAGGAAATAAAAAACAACTATGACTGACTAAATTAAAATGAAGGAAAAGAATTTCAGCCATAATGTTAAGAAACCAGTGGCTGGAGCGATGGCTTATCAGTTAAGAGTGGTGACTGCTCTTCCAGAGGACCTGGGTTCAATTCCCAGCACCCACATGGCAGCTCACAATTGTCTGTAACTCCAGTTCCAGGGGATATGATGCCCTCACACAGACATACATGCAGGCAAAACACTGATGCACATAAAATAAAAATAAATCATTTAAAAAAGAAAAGAAACCAGACACCAAAGAGTATGTGTTGAATGGTTCTATTTATGTAAATCAAACTAACCTATGGCCACAGGAATCAGAATACCAGGGTGCTCATCATTGAGAAGGCCAGGGAGATTTTCAGAGGTTCTAGTGATGTTCTCTGTCTTGTTCTAGATAGTTATTACAAAAGGGTTTTCACCTTGGAAACATTTGTTGGGTGTGCACACAAGATTTCTGCACTTTCCTACAGATGTGATCTTTGTGTGCGTGTGTGTGTGTGTGTGTGTGTGTGTGTGTGTGTGTGTGTGTGTGTGTGTGTGTGTGTTCACTGTGTGGTGGATGTGTTTATGCCATGGTGTATGTATGGAGGTCAGAGGACAACCTTGGATGTCTGTCCTTGCCTTCTACCTTGTTTGAGGCAAGGTGTCTTCTGGATATTTTCCTATCTCCACCTCCCTTTTTCCCATAGGAACCCTGGGGTTATAGACACGTGCTAACATGTCTGCCTTTATGTGAGTTCTGGGGACCAGAACTTAGGTTCTCACACTTTCACAGTAACCACTTCATTCCAGAGCCACCTTCCCAGCCCCTAGATGTTACATTTCAGCATAAACATTAATAAATGTAAAGCTAAAAACCAAATGTAGTACTGAATGAAGAGACTGAAAGACAGAAGATATTCATAACCCAGTAGTATTTAACAATTAAAAAGTACATGATGTTAGAAAACACACATCTTGAAAAAAAACATGGAGACACATTAAGTACATTAGAATAGCTGTCTGTGGGACAGGAAATGAGAATGGGAGGGGGGATAAAAATGAACATACCGATAATAAAAAAAAAAGTAAGGTCTGGCGGGACCAATGGATCATTTAGAAAATTTAATAGGCTGGAGGGTATGGTGGCACACGCCTTTAATGTTAGTACTCAGTGAGCAGAGGCAGGCAGATCTCTGTGAGTTTGATGCCAGCCTGGTCTACAAAGTGAGTTTCAAGTCAGTCAAGGCTGTACTACAGAGAAACCCTGTCTCAAAAAACAAAGAAAGAAAGAAAAAGAAAATTTAATAAAATAAACAAGGAAGCACAAGAGAAAGAAGATGTGAAAGAGGATTTGGAGAAGAGGAAAGAGGAGGGAGAGGAGGAAGGGGAGGAGGGGGAAGGACTGGCTTTGAGAAATCTGGACAACCCTTTGAGAGTTTCAGCACTGCCCATGGGACCATGCTTAGGCTTTAATCCCTGGAGCCCCCCAAGCACTGTTCAATGAGCCTTACACACAGGATCTACATCCATGATCCTGAAGAAGGTAAACACTGCTGTGAGGTATAGATCAGATCCTGATAGATTGAAGCCCTTAATAAGTCTGGAACCTCGGAAGGCCGTAGCTGAGATCTCGGTGGCACTCTGGGAAGAGGGGACTCTGACATACAGGTGATCTAGGAATTCTTATGAACTGGGAGATGGGATGAGAGGCAGGTGACAGATTTGTAGAGAAGAGGAGAGTGGTGCTTGGTGAAGACAGGGAGAAGACTCTGTCAAGGTGGGCATGAGGGCAGCTCACTCACAGGCAACTGAGGCTCTATTCAGATCTCAGTCCATGTCTTCCATGAGACCTGCCACACCCAAGTACCTCAAGTGTGCTGTTCTTATTACCAAATACCTTTATACGTTTTGTTTCGATGACAGGATCGCAGGTATCCCAGGATTGCCTTGGTGGCCTTGAACTCATTATGTAACTGAGGATGACTTGATCCTTCGGCCTCCATCTCCTTTGACAGCTGGGATTACAGGCATCTACCACCACACCTTGTTTACATGGCGCTGAAAAGTGAACCCAGGGCCTTGTGCAGGCTAGGCAAGCACTCTACCAATTGAGCCACATTCCAAGTCCCTACCTTATACTTTTAATGAATTCATCTTTAACTTGATTTTTAGGGGTAAGTGCATAGAGAGATGCTTGACACATCACTAATCAATAGGAAGATGCAAATCAAAACTCCAAGGAGATACCCCACCACATCCACTACAATGGCTGTTGTTAAGAAAATAAGAGAAATCAGGTGTTGGTGAGGCTGAAGGGCAAGTGGAACCCTGGCCTACTATTGGTGACTACGTAAAATGGCACAGCGGCTGTGGGACACAGTATGAGTGACTCAGCACCCCCCCAAGACATGCAGCATAAAATGACTGTCTGGTCTAGAAATTTCACTTCTGAGTACATACACAGAGCAACTGAAAGCAGACTCTTCAAGAGAGACTCACACACCTGTGTTCACAGCCCCCTTTCTTAGCAATAGCTAAACTGTGGGAGCAACTCAGGTGGCCCTCGGTGGGCAAATGAAAGTGAATCAAGACGCTGTCAGCCTGAAAGAGGAAGGAGCACATCGTGACAGCATGGATGGATCTTGAGGATGCCGTAAGAAAAAATACCGGGTAGTTCCATTTATATGAGACTAGAGCAGTCGACTCCGGAGAGATGGTGCACAGGCGGTGGCCAGAGGCTGACAGCATGAAGAATTTGGAGTTGTTTGATGAGCACAGCTTCATTCTGTGAGATGACAAGCATCCTATGGATAAATAGTGGTGATGGTTACCCAAGAATGAGCATTTAGTGCCACCACTGTACATTGTTAAAGTGCTAAAATGCAGTTGTGTGTGTTTTACTCTTTGAAAATAAGGCAACTTTCTATCACTACTATAGTGAAGTCAAAGACAAGGACACCCTCCAGAACAAAGTGGCCTTAGCATCGGCCGAGATGCTGGTGTCTACTAAGGCTGTGCATCAAGACCTCCTCTTAAAGTGGAGGTCATAACCAGACGTGGTAGCACTCCTGAGGTAGAGGCAGGAGGGCTGCTGTGAATTTGAGGACAGCTTGATCTATATAGTGAGTTTCAGGACAGCAGGGCTATATAGCAAGACCCTGTCCCAAACAAAAACAGTGTATGTGGGGAGTCCCTCAGTGACTGTCAGGGGAAAGTTAAAAGCACTCTGGAGGACTGGAAAGATGGCTCAGCACAGTGGTTAAAAAGCTCATACTGCTCTTGCAGAGGACGCAGGTTTGATCCCCAGCACTCACATGGTAGCTCACAACTATCTGTAACTCCAGTTCCAGGGGATCTATTTCCTGCTTCTGGCCTCCAGCATGTATGTGGTGCACATAAACCCATGCAATCACACAAACATACACTTTTTTTTTTTTTTTTTTTTTTAGTTTTTCAGGACAGGGTTTCTCCATGTAGCTCTGGCTGTCCTGGAACTCACTCTATAGACCAGGCTAGCCTCAAACTCACAGAGATCCTCCTGCCACTGACTCCCGAGTGCTGGGATTAAAGGCGGGCACCATCACCGCCTGACAACACATTAATTTTTTTAAAAATAAATTTTTTAAAAGTGCTCTCAAATCAATTTCCTCCTTGATAAACTCACAGCAGCTGAAAGAGATCAATAGGAGCACCCCCTTCTTGTGGCCTGGTTTAATAGGGTGGCGTCTGTGGACTTCTGCAGTATTACTTCTTGTCAGGGGCATAAGCATCCCCCACACTGAAGACCCTTGTAAGGGCAAGAACTAGGGGCCATGAGCATTTTTAACAGAGAGGACAGAGCACAAATGGGAGGGGCAGAGGAGATTCTTATTAGATAAAGCCCCATGTAGGCTCTAAACATAGCCTGCGACTTTCTGGCAGGCAACTCCAGGGTCTCAGGTCTGAGAATGGGTGCTCTAGTCCTCCCTGTGAAGAAGGGCCCGACTACAGGAGAAACAGAGCAGAGCCCTTATTAAATGCTGCAAGTACTATACCATTTCACAGAAAGGAAGTGAGCGTCTGTGGATTTGGGCATCCTGGGGGGAGGAGAGGATCGTATCAACCTTATGAGGTTTACATCTGTCTCTAACGGATCTTGCTAACCACTCAGATGCCTCTACTGCCAAACACAAAGCCACCTCCCGACCGATGTCAATAATTATACAATATGCAACCGACCCGGTGGGAATGTTATTTCTCACAGACATTTAATTTAAAACAACGTTTAGCTTGGTTTCTTTTATAGTCGTATCTCTAACATCTCTATAGGTTCTTGGAAAGCTTCACGGATCCAGGTCGTAGCGGGCTATGAAGCCCGGGGCAATTCACCGAGCCGGGTGCCAGCAAGCAGGTGACTGGACCGCCCCTGGCCCTCGTGCGGGAGGGCGGGAGTAGGCCTGGCGCGCATGCGCGGTGGTCGGGTTTGCGCGTAGCCGCCCGGCTGAAGAGGACGGGGGGGGGGGGGCGCAGCGGGCACGCGCTTGAGGCGGCATCGCTGACCTGGGGCCGTCGGCGCCCCTCCTTCCCATCCTCCCGAGTCCTCTCAGGCGCCCTGTCCACAAGCCTGGTCCCTCGGCGTTCCAGCGGCCCTGAAGAGGCAGCACGCCGCTTCCTCCTGAGGGCCCCACGGGCGCGTACTCGCGCGCGGGCCGCGGACGTGAGGGCGGCGAGCGGCGGGGCCGCGGCGCCGAGGAGGGCCGTGCTCGTGCCCGGGTCGTCGCGGGGCGCGCGCGCGCTCCCGCCGCAGCCCGGGCCGCGCCCGCCCCGCCTCTCAGCGCCGGCCCCGGAGCCCGGTCCGCGAGCGGCGGCGGCGGCGGCGGCGGCGGCCGGAGGGACGATGAGCGGCGCGGCGCGGGCGGGCCCGGCCCGGCTCGCGGCGCTGGCACTGCTGACCTGCAGCCTGTGGCCGACGCGGGCGGACAACGCGAGTCAGGAGTACTACACGGCGCTCATCAACGTGACGGTGCAGGAGCCCGGCCGCGGCACCCCGCTCACGTTCCGCATCGACCGCGGGCGCTACGGGCTCGACTCACCCAAGGCCGAGGTCCGCGGCCAGGTGCTGGCACCGCTGCCCATCCACGGAGGTGAGGCTGGGGCCCGAGCCCGAGGTCGGGCGGGGGGCAGGGGGCCGCGGGGGCGGCGTGGCCGGGTGTCTGCGCGCGGTTCGGCCGCCAGCTTAGGGAATCGAGGTCCCCGCGCTGGGGAGCCTGGCCTGCTCCCCGCTGGGGAAAGAGGCTCCAGAAAGCCTGCTGCATCTCCTCCCTAAAATAAAAAAAAATAAAAAAATAAAAAAAAAATAAAAAAGACTTAGAACGTCCCCCTCTTTTTCATTTAGGTAGCTTGTTTACTGGAGGGCACTGAAATGCGAGTTTGCAGGGACAGTTGAGACAAAGGAGGTGGTGCAGGGGCGCAGAACTACTTCATGGTGGACGAGATGCTTAACCTGTATTTTTGGAATCGGCAGGTTTGTTCCTGAAATCCCACGGATTTATTACTGCAGTGAATCTCGAGGGATGAGAGCCCCCGTCCCGTCCCCCCCCCCCACCGCCCCGAACGTCAAAACGTGCCGGTTTTTTTCTTTAGTGGCTAAGGGGAGGGGGGTCCCTGTTGCTTTTGGCTTTCTCTGGCCCGGGTAGTTTTGCTGTCATGAGACGCTGGAGATTTTCACATTATAAAGAACGCGAGAGTAGCTGAACTAGTAGCCAAGTCTTCGATCACGGGTGCCCACCCAGAGGGAAAGTGGTAAAATGGTCAGGAGTTGTCTTTGAAGCCATTTGATGTAGCCTTACGTCCCCGCCCCCGCCCCGTGTATTCTGTCTGTGCATAGCTAATGATTTGATGTAAAACTTGTATCTGTTAATTACTGGTAGTGTTTTAAAGGGCACATATCTCCGTGGAGTGTGGTATTTGGGGGCTTTGGCAGGCAGAACTTTGGGGAGATGTCTCCTATCCTCTCTATACACTCTCACATTTAGAATGTTGAAAGGATTTAAAAACAAAACAAAAAAAAAAAAACAGCTGCTATTCGTGTTCAGATGACCTATAGTCTTTAGGGTAATGGTGTTTGCTTTTGTAGTCTAAAATATTTTTAAAAAAAATGCCCCTCTGGGCGGGCTCTGTATTTGAATGATAACCCATACTAAGCTGTTTTCCTTGAGACATACTGGCTGGGGGTGGGGGTGTCACATAAGGCTTTACTGTACCTGTCTTTCACTTAGACTGGGCTCCTAAACGTTCATTTTACACCAGTGACCAAATGCTTATGGTGTTTTTCTTATTCCACTAGGTTAGAAGCAGCACTTAAGGTCCCTACTTGACCATAGAAGCAGTTTTTGTCTTTGCTCCATTCAATAAATATTTGCTGCCTGCTCTGTGCCAGTCACTGTGGTTGGGACATGCAATGTTGCCAAACTATGGCAGTAACAATGCTATACTATTTTCTGATGGGGAAAAGAACCGTGAGGGTCATGTGGAAGGGGAGGAAGAGGAAGAAAGAGGCAAGCTCCTCCGCAGCAAGAACTGTACAGTGTTGTGAAATCTGTGGTTTGCACTTGGGGCTTGGTTCCCCCAGGTACCCCAAGACCACCGCCCTCACTTAAGATGCTAGACTCCAAAATGTTTCCTGTGCTACTATGTGTTGCTTGTCACCCCCAAATTAAGCCCCATCTTGGAGAACGCTTTTAGAGGTTCCAGCTGATAGGTGTTGGGAACTGAAAGTCAATCGTCTTATCCTATCACTGGGAAAATAGCATTGTGAGGTTAAAGGCTCCGTCCGTATCAGACCTGTGCTGCACATACACTGTGTGATACTGGCAAAGTAATTCTGCCTAGTGGCTTCATTTCCTATCCAAAAAATAGACTGATAATGTATTTGCCTCTCCCGTGGAGAAGAGGTGTCATTATTGTATCTTTAAAAAACATTTACTTATTTTATGTGTGAGTATTTTGCCTGTATGTATGTGTACAATGTGTGTGTGGTGCCCACAGAGACCAGAAGAGAGTGTTGGATCCCCTGGAACTAGAGTAGAGTCATCCTGTGGGTGCTGGCAACCGAGCCCTTGTCCTCTGCAAAACCAACTGCTCTTAACTGCTGAGCCATCTCTCCAGCCCTTACACATGAGAATTGTTCCAGGAGTTCTCAGGATGATGATGGTGGGAACCTGTAGGTGGCTTCAATCAAATGTTGGACAAATGGTCTTTGCCCATGTGGCCTCTGAGTCCAGCAAGTGCTGATTGAAACTCACAAGCACCATTAAAAGCCCTGGCGGAAAAGGAGGGCAATAGCCTGCAGTAGAGCTCTTAAAAGCATCTTTAAGAAGCTCCCATTCAGAGGGGCTCTTTTCCCAGGTAGTCTACTATAAGTTGTTTCTGCACCTGTGGGTTTATATGGAATCCAAGGTGACGTTCTGCTTGTGCACTAGAAACCCAATAATGTATTTTAAAAAGAAGACTGTAGTAGAAGACTGGTAAAATTATTCATGTTTAAGAAAACCATTTAAAGCTAGGTGTAGTGGTGGATGGGCATTTGTTATCCCAGAAGTGGAATTGCCTGAGGACTGATGCTCGATAGTGGGTCCCAGGACAGCCTGGGCTATGGTGTAAGGCCCTGTTCCCCAAAACAAAAACAATAGTACCTTTTCAAAAAGACAAAAGAACTTCACAGTTTTCCTAATGCTTACTGTAATGGCTAGTTCTATATCTATAGCTTGATTTGTGAAGTTAGAAACTCTTGTTATTTTGCAATGCTCCTTATGGGCCACTATGAGTTGCACAGTTAAGCATGTATGAATTACTGAGTTTTACTGTCCTGTCTTTGTAAATGACAAATTGGCTTTACTTTTCCTTAGAAGCTTTGCTATTTTAAAAGTACATTTTGGAAAATGTTACCATTCTACTTTGTAAATTGCTTCCTAAACAAGTATACTTTGAAACAAATATTTTTTATTAAACCAGTTGCAGTGAGTGAAGATGCTCTTTGTTCTGGGCTAACGTTTACATGTTACCTGATAAAGTGTTCACTTTCAGAAAGGGAGTTTTGAAGGAGTCTGTTGTAACATTTATGAACAGATCATAGTTGCTTTTTGACTGCTTGCTGCAGTGGCCATCTTTGAATTAGAAACACATAATCCCTTTGCAGAGCAGACCTCGCTAGTGTGCGGCACAGACATTGTAAATGCGCTTGATGTGCATGCACACTAGCTTTTTGTTTGAGCCCGGAGTGGGGGTTGGGGAAGGAGAAAGCCCTGTGGTGGTGATGTAATTAGTATGTATGCAGATTGCTGGCAGCAAGAGTTTGGCATTGACCACTTTATGCCTTGTGCAGAAAATTTCAGGATGGGGTGTTAAAAGCTTAGAGAACAGCTTTGCCAAGTAATAAACCTTACCGATACCTTGCTGATTGTAGGGTTGCAACACCGTTTTTAAAAGGTTTATCTTAGGTTTTTATGTTTAAAATTGTGGTCCTGTTGGAACCCGAAGTTGGATTTAGGAATTTTCATGAGCAGTGAAGGAGACTGACATAAAAACAGAAGGTGAAAGAGATCATGTAACATTAGAGTTGATAATAGCAGAGGAAAGCTACCAGACATAGAGATGTCAAAATAGTTACAGAAAAGGTACATATGATCCTGGGAGCAGGTACTCTGAACATTCAGAAAGAGCGCTCAGAAGAGCTGAAGGCTTTGAAAACAGTGCTGAAATAATTAAGTAGCTGGGCAAGAAGAACATGTGGGGGGGGGGTGTTATATTTGTATTCAGCTTTGCAGTGTGGACAATGTTTTTACATGGCTTGTTTTCCCCTTCACTTTTTGGATGATTTCTATTAGCATATAAATGTTAGGAAAAATCTAGAACCACCCACCCTCCTTACCAGGCTCTCAACTTGCTACCTTCTTACTTCAGTGTCTGTTAGAACAAAGTGTCTGATAAATGTTTCTTCACTTGCTGCCTCCACTTTTTCCTTCTGCTCTTTCTTACATGATGAAAGTCATTGATTGCTATGCTAGTGTTAAAACAACAATAACAACCTATTTAACTGATACATTGGGTGACATGGTCAGGATTCCTAACGTCTCAGTATCTAGAATGGTGGGTTGAAGTTAAAACAAAAGGTTTTAACTTTGCTAAAGATAAGTATATTTATTTATGTATTAATTAAGAATTAAGAAGCATTGCCTTCTTTGAGGGTTGCTCATGGAGATAAGATTTAGCCATCACATGTCACATGTCATGGCCATCACATGTCACGTGACGCAGCTGGTAAATTTTCCTGACTTTGCCCAGGCCAGTACGAGGTTGCATCTGGATGTAGGGTGGCTCCACCACTCTTTGTAGAGGACACACTTTTAGTTTATGGTTAATTCTGATTACAAGTTGTAAGAGACAAACTGCAGAATTTCATTTTGAGTGTCAGAAAAGGAATCCTTCACTGGTAAGAATAGACTAATGTCTTCTAAGATCCTCTCACCTGGCACAAGATGTGACTGAAAGAATAAGACAAATCTTTTAAGAAACCTGCCAGAATATACTCATTAAAGAGAATATTGTTCAGTTTTCTCTTTGTAGTACTCGTGGCTAAACTCAGGGCTCACCTGTGCCAGTCAAGCACTTTATCACTGAATTATATCCTGGCCCAAGAATATTGTTCTTTTTAAACCAGTCACATTGGGAGACTGTGTGTACATACACATGTACATTTATAGTAACAAATCATTAAACATGATATTTGCTTTGTGTTTTTTATTAAACAGTTAAAAAACTTATATACCAAATCTTTAATTTCTAGGTAAATTTGAATTTTGACAATCAGAAATTGCTTGTAGGCAGTTGGGAGTAAGTACGTTTTATTTAAAGCAGAGGTGGGACTAGAGAGATGTCTCAGTGGTTAAGACAGTGTACTTCTTGCAGAAAACCTGAGTTTGGTTCTCAGAACCCGTATTGGGTTGCTCACAACTGCCTGTGACTGCAGTTCCTGGGGGTTCCTCTGGCTTTCATGGGCAACTGCAGTCATGTGCACATACCCTGCATGTAATTTAAACTTATTTTAAAAATATTTTTAGAGGAGTGGAACAGAAAAGTCAGAGAG